TTCGGTAGTGTTTCATTTTTCATTTTTTTTTGTATAAATCGGAATGATTTGAAATTTGGAACTTGTGTACATCTTAGTGAGGCTCATCTAATACAAATATGAAAAAAATAATTCGCAAAAAAAATTTGACCAAAATACCCCCAAAACCAATCCGTGTTCAGAAGCTTCTGTTTCTACTATTTTGAATGCCGTAGGATTAAAAAGTGCCAAACATGGTAATTCTTTGGCTTTTATTTTGATTTTCTTTACAGCATTAGTATGGTCATCAGTCCATGCTGGAGGATTCTTTTTTAACCTTTGAAATAGAAGTTTTGCATCAATTGCTAAATCTTTGTAAAAATCTGAGATATAGTTTAAGCAACCCAAAAATCATTGTAACTCGGTTCTGTCTAAAATTATATGAGGAAATTTAGATGCAAATTCTATCGCTCTTTCTATAGGGATGATCCTTCTTTGGAATATATTATGACCGAGAAACCTGATTTTGTTCTGGTAAAGATTTATTTTTCTCGCAGAGACTACTAAGCCAGCATTTTTTATTGCCTTTGAAAAGCTATTTAGATGTTTCCAATGTTCCTCAATTGATTTTGAAAAAACAAGCATATCATCAATATAGACTATCATAAATTTAGTACAAGGATTAAAGATTTCATTCATGATATTTTGGAATTCATAAGGTACATTTTTTAATTCGAATGGCATGACATTCCATTCAAATTGCCCAAAAGGAACATTAAAGGCAGTTTTATATTTATCTTCTTCAGCAATTTGGATCTGCCAATAGCCGGACTTTAGATCAAATTTAGAGAATATACAAGCATTGACTAGTCTATCTAAAAGATCCCTTTTGTTTGGTATTGGATATCTAATCCATCTCAAGACTTTGTTTAGTGGTTTATAGTTTATTATCAATCTAGGAGTTCCTCTTTCGATTTCTGAGGCTTTTCTACATAAAAGGCCGAGCAGCTCCATGGTGATGAGCTTTTCCTTATTAGTTTTTTCTCTAATAATTCTTGTATTTCCTTTTTGCATATTTCAAGTAGCCTATTATTCATTTGAATGGGTCTTGCCTTAGTAGAAATCTTGCTTTCCCGAAAGTCTGGTTCATGTGGTAATTTTACTATGTGTTGCTTCCTATTCCAAAAAGCATTAGGGATTTCTGCACAAATATCTTTTTCCATATTGATTTTTAAAGATTTGATTTTGTTTTGTGTTTCTAGGAGAGACAATTTCTTTTCTATATTTTTATATTTTATTTCTTCTTTTAGATGGAACAAAAATTTTTCTTTAGAAGAAATTGTGTCTCTGATTTTGTTAATCTCATGGACTCTGGGCTTTTCAATAAAGGTAAATTTTACCTTATGCCCTTCAATGCTAGCTTCTATTCTTGTATCATCTATTTTTATAAGATAGAGCATATTCAGAAATGGAGTCCCTAGGATAACAGGTTGGCTTAAACCTTTCACCATTATAAATGGAAAGTTGAAGCAAGCACCATTATTGTAAACTGCAGTATCAGTTAACTTGTAGTTTATTAGTATCTTACTGCCATCTGCTGTATTAAGGATTTGAGTAGTTTTACTAAAATATTTGGTTGGTACCAATCCTTCATTAATGTAGTTTAAATCTGCACCTGAATGTATTAGTGCGGTAGTTTGGAAACTGTATTCTTTTTGTACTACAATTGTGATATTGGTAAACCATTTTTTAGTTATAATTTTATCTACTAGGTTTACATATTTGCAAGTGTGAACCTTTTCTATTATATTCATAACAGCTTTAGAAGTTTCAGGCTTTGGAAGGGTATCTTTAACTTCTAGTGGTATGAGAATATTGTGCTCAGTTATCAGCTGATCAAACTCTTCTTCTATATTTTTTTCTTTAATTGTTTCTCAGAGTGGATCTTGAGCTAATTCTAAAGATTGGACTCTTGATTTGAAGGCTATCAATTCATTTCTGACTTCATTGATTTCATATCTTAGCTCAGATATTGGAGGTTCTTTTTCTGTATGGGTTTTATTTTGTACTCTTTTCATAATATCTTGAAAGCTATAGTCTTCTTTTGTAGGGACAAGGGAAGAATTTGGTTTTCTTGATGGTGCTTTTGACATATTGATATATTTTATTAAGGCTTCTTTTTTAGCTTCAGGGTCTATTATTTTGTCAATAAGGTCTATAATTAAATCTTCTTTTTTGTAAGGGTATTGATAATCAATCCATTCATATCTATTATTGCCTTATAATAGTTGCATTGACAATTTTCTTTGTCTTTGTCTGGGTCATCTCCAGAATCAGAATCTGAATCAGAGCTACTGAAAATGATATCTTCATCTTTGATTTCTCCAATTAGCATTTCTTCTTCTGACTCAGAAAAGTCTGAAGTTCCATTTTCAATCTGGAGTATCTCAAATATTTGCCTTTTAATATGGCCATCTAATTCTAAAGAATTAATTTTCTTTTGGACTCTGCATTTGTTTATATAATGGCCAACCTTGCCACAGTTGTAACAAACAGGGATTTTCCTTTTTCCCTTGTATTTGAAAGATGTTTATCTTTTAAATTTTTTTTTGAGAAGTTTTCTTTTACCTTTTGATAAGGTTTGAATTTCCTGCTTCTGATATTATGTTTTTTCTTAGGAAAAAGCTTTGAAAGGGGTAAAGTATTAAATCCAAATTGTTCACAAAAATCTCCTAGCTCTTTCCTCCCCGTTGTTCTTTGCTTTTCTAATTGCCTTCAGAGTTTTAAGTCTGTACATAATGCCAGACCTTCAGCACAAATTTCTGCTGGTAACTCGCCTACGGTATCCAAAGATTAAGGAATGAGTCCCCCATGTTTGTTTTTTAGCCTGATTTTTACCTTTTCAACAAATAAATGTGGTAAACCAGCTATAAATTTTTCTTTCCAATTGTCTGATTTACTATCTTCTCTTGACAGTAGTCGTGAGAAAAACGCATCCTTGTACCACTTATAATGAGCCAATGTTGGGCACCTAAGATTAGATAATAAATCTTCAGACCCTGCTGCCAACAGCGCAGTACTTCCTACAAAATGGAGGGTTATAGTATATATTAATGTGTTAATTGCATCACCCTCTTGTACTATATTTTCTTGGCCATCTTCTCTTTTGACCATCCATTGTTTTGTAGCATTTAATTATTGGTTTTTCGAATTTTCATCCATATGGAAATCCCACCAGCCTCTTAGCCAACCAGTGAATCCACAAATTATGGCTTTGGCTATCTCATGGTCCTGATTTCCACTAGCCTTGCAGGCAGTGGCATACATCGTCATGTGTTTCATGAGATCTAGGATTTGGTTTTCTACCATACCATTAATATTCCAATTCACAATAGATTTTCTTGAGTAAGAAACTGAAGTTGATATTAAGTCTTCTTCGATCTGTTGGTCTACTGGGGTAGGTCTAGGATAGTACATCCAAGTTTGGGATAGTGGTCTAAATTTTTTCCCATAATCGATCCTATTTACTTCTAAGCTTTCAGTTTTAAAAGCTTTCTCAATTTGTTCAATTTCTTCGTCAAGTGCCTTTTCTAGGACCTGAACATTTCCTTTTTGAGTTTTAGCGGACTCAGCTTTATCATTAATGTTCAATTTTCTCAATCTTTTGCTAATTCATCTATGAGCTCACTGTTTTCCTCTTTTTTCTTTATTCCTTGCAGGCTAAATTTCCCTGTTTCTATTGTTGGAGGAGGTTTGAATAGAACAACTTCTTTCTTCTTTTCCAAGCTTCTGGGTTCAAGAGTTGTTTTTAATTGGTTTATGGCATTTTCTATTCGGGTGGTTTGTTTTCCTATTGTTTGGAGCAAGGCGTTAATATAATTGTTTGGTTCAATGATATGAGGTATTCCATCAATTTTGGCCATGCTTTGGTCACTTTCTTTTGGTCCTAGTTTTAGAGGTGAGGCTCTAATTTCAACCTTTTCGCCTAACTTTTCCTCAGTGAGTCTTATACTAACCTCAGGGGGATGTATGGACTCAATTGTTTCTCCTTGAGAAGTCTGGTAGGTTTGGAAAGATTTTTCTACTATGTTTACTTCAAACTTTGGGATTTTAATAGGATAATGTTTTGCTATATATTTTAACCATTTGAAGAACTTTACAGTTGCCTTATGATTTAAATTAAACCTATTAAATTTGAAATGGAAGGCATCTCTTAGAGGTTCTTTAAATTCTGTAAAAAACCATTCTCTTATTAACCTGTTTTCTTCAGAGTAAAAGTCCTTTTTTATCCATTCTTTGTCAATTTCAAATTCTTCCTTTTGAATTACATTGACATCAAAATCTAGATCTGAAGGAGTTGGTTCCGGTTCTTCTATTTCAGAAGAGCCTGCGGTCTCAACTCTATAAACTGGTTGTTGTACCTGGTTTGAGGTTCTATTTAATCTTTCTATAACGGTCCGTCTATGAGAAGATAGTCTCTCATGTTCTGACTGTGGAATTGAAGAAGTAGAACTTCTCGAAGGTTCCCTGACACTAGATTCAGCTTTTCTTAGTGTGGTTTTTCGGGATGAATGAAATCTAATTTCTATTTCCCCATCAAAATATTCAAGTATTTGTTCAGGGTCTTTGTTTTCTGGAGGTTCAATTCGGGCATCTGATTGCAAAGGCCATCTCTCAGGTAATTTTACCAAGGACCATGCAACAGACTTGGGTATTACCAGGTTTGATTTTTCCATGTTTGTTTGGAAAAATATTGTTTGTCCTTTGGAGTCCATTTGCCTTGCATTTGGACATAAGGTATTCATTACCTTGTAACATATTCGGTAGACAAAAGCTAAGTTTTGTGATCCTGGGTCCATATCAAAACCTTGAGTTTGAAGGTTTAGAGTTTAGACTTTTAAGAGGTTTGGATCTATTAGGGCCACGGAAAAGTTTGGAAAACAATTGAAGTAAATAGGCCCATTACAGAGACTAGATTCAACTATTCCAAGTA